ATGGTCATATTTTCTTATATTCTGTGAGACTGGGGGGAGGTGTATACTGTATATTGGGAACTGGGGAGGGTTTTTTTTTTTTTTTTTTTTGTCTTTAAACTATGTTTCCTGGTTGCCATGGAGAATGTTTTCGAAAGAAATTGTGATATTTGATGAGATTCCTTTTTTGTTTTCTTCCCCCAAATGCCTCTGTTTAAAAGGGACAGCCTGCAATGTCCCGGTGCGTTAAACTGACAGAGATGTGATGAGAATGAGACACTGACAGAGAGAGGAGAGGGATCAGGAAGTTGTACAGTGCCAAGTTATGTAAATATACACACTTTACATTGAGGAGTGTCTCCAAAAGCAATATCTTGAAAATGGATTTTGTTTATTATTGTACTGTACAGGACTCAGCCCTAAATGTATTATGATTATTATAATAATAATATTATAATTTCTTCCGTTTGTATGACTATACTGAAGACACTTAAGCTCGGAGGAAAAAGATTTTTGTTTTTGTATTGTTTTTTCTTTTTAATGTCCAAGAAATCTCACCACCAACTGTCCTGACGACATTAAAAAAAGTAAGCTGAAGTTTCGTTGCCTATAAATGAAATTCACCTATGTACTGCATGAGCGAGAAGAATGTCAAACGGACACAGAAGGCATTGGGACATGACAGTGACTTGCCAGCGACCTCTTTGCCGCTGAACATTGTTAATATTACTTTTGAAGGAGAACTGCGCTCCTTGTTTTTTGCTGCAAAGTGTTGAACACTAAAAAAACAAACCAACATAAAAATGTTAAGATATTTTTAAACGGTGACAGAAAGAAAAAGTTTTAAAAAATAAATTTAAAAAAAGCTGTCGGCCCAATATTATGTTATTTTGGGTTTTTTTGCTTTGTTTTTTTCTTTCAAATAGGAAAATGGTTCCGTTTTGTGATAGCAGTCATTGTATGATGCTTGTACTTGTATTTGTGTGTTTTTTGTGCGATTTGTTTAGTTATTTTTAGACAATCACAAAATAAGATGCAAGCATTGTAAATGGCAGACTGGCGGACATTTTGTGATGTGTACAGTTTGTCAAAAAAAAAAGAAAAAAAACTTCTTCCACTCGTTTAAAGTTTGTAATTATGATTCTTAAGTCATGAAAAATGCTGTTGGTTTTTACTTTTTGTTTTATATTTGTTTTTGGTTTTTTTTGTTTGTTTTTTTTAATAAAAGCACTACATTATTGTGAATATACTTCATGGTGGTCTCCTTTGAAAACCCCTCATATACTTCACAAACACACGTTTACGAAAAGAATTATAAATACCCAATATAGATACTATTTTTCAGCTAAAACATTAAATACAAACCCTACCAAAATGGCTTGAATAAAACCAAAAGGCCTAATAAGCTCGAAATTATCCAAAAGTAGCTAAATTAAATAGAAAATAGTGAATACGGTGAGGTCAGTGAGTAAAAATGTAGATATAATCCTGTAAGGCGCTTGAAAATTTATGGAAATTTAACCAAATATGTAAAACTATAGTGCTAGGACATGGTGAAGATTTACCTATATACCGGTATTTAAGAAAAAGTATTCCTTGTGGTGGGTTAATATAAGGCTCTCTCAGCACTCCTGATCCACTTTAAAGAGAAAAAATTACAGATGTGAGAGAGGTTATTTATGTAATTTAAGTATGTTTTCTGGACCTCAAAAACTCACAAACTCATGTATCAAGTACGACAGACTTGTCAAGAAGTAAACGAGTCCTTCTCTCAGCTCTCGCGATAGTACAGTAGTTGACAATAGGCGAGTTAAACAACGTTTTCGTTATCGCTCTTATCGACTTTAGGGTCATACATACTATAATATTTTCACTCAAATATTTATGAATTATACTTTTCCAGTACACTGAGAGCTAAAGGTTGAAGAACCAAGAACTTAAATCTCGCGATACAACTTTAGTATCCATAGTAACGCCCAAAACGCCCTAACTGGTTCACAACGGCGTTATTAAACTCTCTGAAACGATATCGTCTTTAACGCTTTTAGCTGTGTGACTGTAATTGTGGTTTCAGGCGCAACCATGTCTAGAAAGAAAGACCCGAAAGATAAAACCAGCGCTGAAGACGAGGCCTGGAAAAGCGCAGGTTAGCCTGTTTGTTTTTTTTAATCGAAGAATGGCAGCGCCTTTTTACTTGGACTGCTACTTAACCGTAGCTGTAATTTAATTTTTTGCCACATTATCTGAAAAAATATGTTGTTACTTTAAGCATTTGTACAACTTAGAATTTAACTTTTATTTCGAATGTAACGTTATTTGAAAATACCTGTTTTATATACTCATTCAAATTACGGTTGGGGTCAGAGGTTTGTATATCATGCGCTTGAATCTCATGGCAAGTTAGGGCTTCGAATAATTATTTATTTGAACTATTATTTTTCCAGGGTGGAATGATTGTACAACATACATCTTTAATGACTTTAACAAAACAAGTTGCACAAGATAGAACTTATTTAGGATTTTCTCTTGTCCACATAGAGTCAAGAATTTACCTACAGGTTCACTAAAATGCACCTCCGCCTAATATGTGGTTAAATGTCTCTTAGCAAGTTTATACTCCAGATACTGTTTTTTAAGCCATCTACAAGCTTCTGGAATAATTCTGGCTGGATATTTAACCACTTTTCTTGGGATATGTGGTACAGTTCATTTAATTTGGTTGATTTACTGCCACAGACCCAGCTTTTATAGTAGGGGCTTGTTTCTTCGTTGGCATCCTCTCAATGGATTGCAATGTGAAACTGGCTTCCATGTGTACAGTGACACTGGTGTTCCAGCATTTTCCAGTTCATGGCAGACTTGAACCTAGGTGGTTTGTGGGTTATTCCTGAACATTCTTGGCAAAGTGGTGACACATCACATTTTTACTTAAATAAAACTGTGTTGGAATCTGCAGCTGTATAGAAATGGCCCCAAGAGATCTTCCCACCTTGTGAAAATCATCAGTTCTCTTTCTTAGATCTTCACTGAGTTCCATAGAGCTATTCGCATTGTTCTGAGCATTAGTCAATCTAATGAGTGCTGTCAAACGAGTCCTTTTTATGCTGGCAAAGAGAAACGATCAGTTGTAATTATTCATGATCACTAACGAGAAGTTAATACGCCTTGGTTGTATTCAAATTTAAAAGACATTGTAGACCCTTCAGCACCACTTATGAAAAGATTTAAGGGAGTGTATGTATATATTTTGACCCTGTGTTGATTAGAGATAATCCAAAATGAATTCAAACTTGTGGAGCCGGTGCTTGTTTTTGAAAAGCTATTAAAGATGTGTGGTGTACAATGATTTCACCCTGGAAAAAGAAAAGTTCAAAGAAATTATTAAAAGGTCCAAAGTTAACATGACATTCATGCCCATGATTAGCGTATGTGAACGTCTGACCAAAACTGTACTTTATATACTACTTTCTCATGTCAGCTTATTTTCATTATGGCAAACCTTTTTTGAAAAAAGCAAATTAGTAAATACAGGATTATTTTTTCCCCTGAAAAATGGAGCACATGATTAAATAAAAGTTCTTAAAATAAATAAAGTAAGACTTCAAGTTATGTGATCTCATTTTAGGTTTATTTTGAAACAGCTGCAGCACATAATCAAAGCAATCATAACAAGTACACAATAACATGTTTGTTCATCATGAGGTTTTAGTAAAATAAGTTTTCCTGTCTGCAGTCTCTCAAATAGCACTGATTGCAGTATAGCTGTTTGAGGTAATCTAACACCACACATTATATAGAGATATGATTGACAGTGAAAACTTTTCATGCAATCAAAGTGAAAGTTTTTGATGTTTGCTTTGTGAGTTGCTATGTCAAGACTCTAGGCCTTTCTGTTTACAGGACCGACTCCAAATGAAACTCTTCCTGTTCAGACCTTCGGTAAGCATAAATATGAAGCTCTTCTACTTAGTGTGGTTGTGGTGATAGCTGAGATTTGCACTTATCCCCATTGCCCTACAGATGAATATCAGTGCACAGGAAATGCAGAGACTGACTTCCCTGCGCTGTGTGCTCTACTGAACGTGAAGGATATCCCAGCTGTTATTGCCAAGTTCCCAGCCTCCTCCGCCAGTCAAACTGAAGGTGTCACCAGTAAACAAGAGATGGTTCTGCTTTGAGTAGTATCACACTGACAGAGAAACAGAAAATAAAACAACAACAAAAAAAATCTGTGATAATTGTGACATTAGAGCAAGAAGGATCATGGGAATGTGTTCATGTTTTTGAATACTATATGCTTTGATTTGAATGTGTTTTCCACACATTACCAACATTTAGCGTTTTCAGGTGAATTATGGCTAACAGACCTAGCGTAGAAAAATATACTACTGGAGAGGCAGAGACTTAAAGCCCATATTGATGATAAAAATGTGTCAATTAATGAGAATGTATTGGCATCAGTAATCTAAACATTTGGAATGTTTCTGCACAAAATAATAAAACCTCTTGAGACCCAAGATCTTGTTTGGCATGCATGAGATGGAGCAGGTTGAGCAGGACAAAAGGTGCAGGGTCTCAGGAGGTTAAACATTACACATCTACAAACACAAAGAGACATGGAAGTAAGCATGACCATGAATGCTTCACTGGAATTTGTTGTTACAGAGTCACCAGGTCGTCTGTATTTCTTAGATTTCAGTCACACAGATATTGTAAATTATTTTACCAACTGTTGCAGTATTATTGTGGTCAGCATTATTTTGAATTACTCCTTGATGCTCATTCCTACAGTATAAACAGTAAATATAATTTATATGATCTCAGACTCTCTTACTAATAATAATTTTCCTCCTAAAGATTACCAGTTACAGACGAGTGATGCTTTTTTCTGCTCAAAGCCCTGCCTAACACTGGAGCTGGAGAGTAAAGACAGAGCCAGGAGCATGAAGGTTTCTGGTGAGAGGAAAAGAAGGCGAGGGTTTATAACTTTACTTGGCATTAATTCAACATTTAAAGAATTTGAGTTTCTGAGTCTGTAGTTATCACTGGTTACCTGCAGTCATATCATTCTATGTTGTGTGTAATGTCAGAGTTTGAAAGACATCATTGGATCTTGTTAATTGAGAAGTGAGCTCATATTATTGTTTGAAGCATGTGGTGAGAAAATGACTGGATATGTCATGAACAGGATGGAGGGTGAATGAGCAGATTTTCCGAGTGCTAGAAAAGATGCTCCCCTCCATGAACCAGCTACAGAGCCTTGGGTGAGTAATGAGGTGCTGCAGGGAGGCACACTCCTGTTACAGCGAACGAGGTTACAGCTGTCACTGTTTTGTTCTTGTTTGTTGGTGTAATCTTGTCCACGGTTGTGCAGGTTTTGGCAGGCGGGACTGACAGATCGCATGGTAGTCGCCCTCATGAACACAATACCGCTGTGCTCCAGCCTCAGGTGAGCAGATACCCACTGTCCCCCAAGCATTTTGCACCACATCACAACAGGTCCAAATGTGTTTTGACTTCATGCCAGGAAATTATGTAGAATAGCAGACAAATTTCGCTTTAGCACTGAGAGTTACTGAAACAGCCCCTCTGATTTGTGTTCACTTAGGGTTGTGGCACTGGAAGGCAATGTTCTTCCACAGCAGGGCTACCACCTTCTTCTTTCTGAGGACAGCGTGTAAGTAGCGTAACAGTCACACATGTAAACATGTTTGTAGTAGCCATTTGTTAAAAATCAGGTTCATAATCAAAACGCCACTGATGCACCGTGATTCATCCCAAGTTCAGGTCGTGCAGTGCATGGAGAAAATGCAGAAGCGCAAAAGCTACATCTCAACCTCTACAGGCCTCAGTTAGCATGTTAAATGTTAACGTTCATGACAGCAACAACATGGCAGCACAGCTTAGGTTTGCAAAGTTATGTCTGAACAAGCCATGAGACTTCTGGAACAAAGTCTTTTGGACAGAACACCAAAGTGTGAAACACAAATGTGACTCCCCTGCTCCCAAGTAAGGGTAGTCTGTCGCAGGGTAACACAGAGAGACAGACAACCATTCACACTGCTAACCTAACCCTGGGACGAAGTTGGAGTACCCAGAGAGAACCTACACATAGGGAGAACATGCAAAATCCACACAGAAAGGCCTGGCCAGATGGTGGATTCTAACCCAGGACTTTCTTGCTATGCAACAATCCTAGCCACATTACCACAGTCCAAACAGATTTATCTATTACAGAGTGGAAAACACTTGTTCATACAGCACTACTCTCCACAAAAACACACAGCTTAGACTGGTTGGGATGCTCAATACAAAAGTTTTGAGATTGTTTCAAGCTTATGAAGTGGAAATGTTTTGAAACACTGACCCAAAGTATAGAGCTTTGTTTACAATAGTGCAACAGAATAGCATTAAGATGTGACAATAGCAAAAGCCGCCAGTAGGTGTCACTGTGGAGATGGGTGTCACATTGTTTTTGACAGTTCTGACAAAAACTGCTTCAAATGTTTCACAAAACCTCGCTTTATCCATCACGAGAATTAGAAATCCCTTTATCAGGTCATAATTTAAAGTCGGCGCTTCTAACCTTCCAATAATTGAAAACACAGAGAGAAAAAAACTGAACAGCAGAGAGGAGAGAAAACAATACAAGTGATATAAAATTATGAGCTGGGTTATATTGACTCCACCTTATATCACTCTCCTCCACAAGAAATGCCTGATTTATATGAGATAAGACATCTGCCATAGTGTTATCAGTCTCCTTCAGATGGTGTACTCAGTGTTGAAATCTTGCAGCAATAAGGAGCTGCATCATTGTTACTGAGCATTTGAGATATAAGCAGGGGATTGTGGTCATTGTGATCATCAGCGGAGGTGGTGCTGGAACCAAAGTACACCTCAGAGTGTTGCATACTCAAAAGTAACGCTAAGGTTTCTTTCTCAGTTGTGCTCTAAATCATTTGGGGTTTCTTGAATTTCTTTGAAAAACAGCATACTGGATGATGAACACTTCTGTCAACCTCACTCTAATTTACTGTACCTGCACCATAAGCACTGGTGTCACTCTCTAGTTTAAAGTCATGAACGTAATGCACAGCGGTTTCGGCAGAAACCAGGCATGGTGGTGGAGAGGTGATGATTTGGGCTTATTTTGCAGCCACAGGACATGGGCATCTTGCAGTCATTGAGTAGACCATGAAGTCCTCTGTGTACCAAAATATTCTGGAGTTGCCGTTTATGGTGTTTCTATAAGCTAGTGAATTGTGGCGTGTCGTTATTTTTTCACAGAACTGCATAGAGTCCTCATTTTTTCACTGTACCTGACAACAAAGTCCCCCCAAAAAATAAAATAAAGAAAAATCTTTTTAAAGCAATTTTGACAAGTGAGTAAGAAAATAAGCCAAAATAAAGCAAAGTAGCTAACAAAAAACATCTGCAAAAATGAAACTTTCAACATATTATAATTTTTAAACAACAAATTAATAAATAGCGACCGCAATGTTGGAAAACCCTCTTCCTGTATTTACACACCATTCTGCACACAAGAGCAGTTAATGTCATGTGTTTCTTTGATCCAGCCTCACTCACTTGTCTCTGAGAAATAACCGGATAGGAGTTGAAGGCGCTCGCCTGATTGGTTCAGCGCTTTCGACAGCCAGGTCTGCCAACAAAAACCTCCTGTCACTCAACCTGGCGTTCAACCGTATATGTGATGCAGGTGCTGCACTTATTGCTCAGGTATAACCCAGAACTGACGGCATATTCCCTGGTGTATGTCCCCTGTGTGACCGCTGAGCTGATGTCTCTGTCGCCGTCCTGTTTTGCCTCAGGGCCTGCGGCTGAATCGTACTTTGCTCTTTCTCTCTCTGTGCAACAATCAGGTTGGAGATGCAGGAGCTGCTCAGCTGGCTGCGGTATCAATTTACATCACAGAGTTTAACTGACAGATAATGCATTTAAATTAGCAGTTAAAATGTCTTAAATCATATTCATCTTATTGCATTATGTAATGTAATTTAATAAGCCTCCAGTGCTTGCTACTCCCCTTTTCAGGTACTTCGTGAGTTTGCCTTAACTCATGATGAAATAGTGGAGAGGAGGAAGCTGCTTCTGAAAAGAGTGCAAGCTGTAAGAGTGGCAGTGTCATTCACTGAACTGACTTTAATAACTAAGTGCTCTGAATAGCACTGCTTTCACAGTACATGTAGTTAAACCGCTTTCAGGTTTATTTTTGATCTGTTTTTTTCAGGCTTTAGTGAAGGATGAGCCTCTCCAAACATTAGCTGGCAGCACCACCTCACTGGGTGGCAACAAAGGAGAGACCACAGGCACTCCTAAAAAAAAGGTTTCATGTGAAAACTGACTTTTAGCAAATTCTTAAACTAGTGTGTGCTGCAAATCTTGTACTATTGATTCTTATTACAGGAAGCAACCAGAAAAGACGGGAAACCGGACGCCAACAAAGACAACCAAAAGCCAAACAAGAAAAGTAATCGCTCCTGTCGCACCTGAAACACTTGTTCTGTTCTCTGAGAGATGACAGCTGTGTTTATCGTTTATCCCTGACATCTTTTCTAGCCACTGATACAAGAGCGTCTCAGGCTAGAGGTGGAAAGGCAGAGGGCAAAGAGAAGCAACATGCAGAAGAGGTAACGTTTTCTGTTTGCTGAGCATCATGTGGATGCACAACACAGTATAAAATTTCACTGGTTTCACTTTGTTTTTTTTCTTTTTTTCCCCCCTGCAGGATACATCAAATACTTGCCTGAATAAGGTTTGTTTGATGCAACATTTTGTGAAGCAAAAATATAATTCTCAATGATGGCGCTGATCTGACGGTTCTCCGTGAGCAGGCAGAGTTGGTGGATCCAGCAAATCCCCTGCTGCACCCGTCGGTGGATCCCAGGGACGGACAGGTCTTCATGTCCGGAAACACGACTCTTGTTTCCCTCGACCTGGCAGGTCAGCAGCTGTGGTGCATTTATCTGTGCTTCTCAGGAAAGTCAAAGCACAAAATCAAAGTCAAATGTATTTATATAGCACATTTAAAACTACAACTGTTGACCAAAGTGCTGTACATTTAAAATAATCAAAAGAGATAAAAACAACTACTGTTAGATTTGATGGCAGGACTTGTCTTTGACTTCTTGCAAGTGTGGACATGCATTATCAGGACTGAAATAAAGTCTTTTGGTGTGTGTTTGTGTAGGAAACAGAATCACAGAGAAGTCGCTGCCTCACTTTTTGGCGTCACTTCAAGCGCAGGGCGAGGGTGGAGGTCTGCTGCGTCTCTGTCTGCAGGTACGTAGCACTCACAGGGCACTCAAGTTGACACTGTACGAAACGTATTAGAGCCACATGAAGTTTTAAAAAAGAAGTTGTTTTTTTTTCTTTTCTTTTGCTTTTTGGAATTTTTGAGACTAAACGTGACATTTTAACATAAAAGTTGAATTTTGCAAATAAATCAGAAGATGACGTTTTTCTTTGTGTTTTGTGAATAAACTTTAAATGTCAGGAATAAAGTTGGCATTTGAAGGTGAATGTCACCTCTGACTCGCTCGCTTCATGCTCAGAATGCCAAAAATAGCACCTCCTCTCTGATCGCCACAAAAAATTGGACTTATTTTTTGACATTATTACTAAATGTTAAACTAAAAAACAAAGCAAAGCAAAAAGGCTTTCACATTTCAATTTTATTGATATGGCTCCAAGATCCTCCACCTCTGTGTGTGGGCGTCTGTGCACAATTCCCATGAACTGAATTTAGACAAAAAAATGACTTTAAAATCGTTCACAGCCGCTGTCATCACATTATTTATATTATATTATGTTTCAGCATTTATTAAAGTCTGTTTTGCTTTATTGCATCCTAGCTTTTAATTATTTTTTTTATCAACTAATGAAAGACTGAGTCTTTCATTAGTTGTTCCCATTTCATTCCATTTTACCTAAAAATAAGTGCTGATTAATGTGAACATAATTTATTTGCTATAATTTCTGATCTCTCTCTCTCTCTCTCTCTCTCTCTCTCTCTCTCTCACAGAGAAACATTTTCCCACCAGAAAATGAGCTTTACGTGAAGATAAAGGAAATGATGGCTGCCTCAGATCCAATGAAAAAAAATAACTCTGAAGAGGAGGGACTGGGAGAGTAGAGAGGCTGACAGAACGGGCCTTCACTTTGTCTTATAGCAACACAAATATGTGTATAATTGTATAATAATAATTTCAGCTGTTTAATTATTTGTCAGAATTAATTAAAGAGAATAATATGAGTGAACAGGGCAGCCAATCAGAACTGCGTAGATTAATTGTTTTAGTTAAGTCACCTTACAGTTACCAGCCATCACTCAGGTGACATGCACATTAGGTTTATTGGTGGTTCTAAATTGGTTATGGATAGGTGGACATTGGGAAATGCTAGTGTCTTTGAGTAATACAGATGTTCTGCTACAGACTGTTTGTCTCCTGGATTTTGATGTTTTTTTCTCCAGGATCTGAACCATTATGGCTTCAGAATATGGTTAGAGGGATTTATATGATTTGTATCTCCTGGAATCAAACTGTGTAATCCACTATCCTGTAGTGCTGGGCTTTTAATTAATTAATATTCCATTCCGGTCCCATCATCAAACTATTCATTATTTTTCCTAAAAATAAATAAATAAATAAATGTAAAAGTTCCAATTTTGGAGTTACAGCTCTTAATGCTTTTTTGTACTTTACCTTCCACATCTGCTCCAGGTGTTCCTATATTCTTTATTTCCCCCATCATCTTAAATTTATAGTCATATTAGTTTGCTTTCATTTTTCTGGTGTCTGCATCCCACAGTTTGACAACCGTTGCCTTGGATGGTTCTTCACATTTATGCCTCTTCTGATGCTGAAGGCAGAGCACATCAGTGGTGTCATTCCCCGAGGTGCCACCAGGGGGCTGTCGAGGAAAATTAAAACATAAACTGACAAAGGTTTAATTATCGTAATTTACACTCAATCAGTCTACTACCTGGAAAATCTATACTATATTTGATTTGATTTGGGAATATCCATAACAAAATTGTACACTATGTTAAAAGCTAAATATTTTTTTTACATATGATCAATAGTGTTTATTATTATTATTGCTATTATTATATTTATTATTACATATTATATGCGTTTGCCTTAAAAAGTTAAAGAAAATTTATCTTAAATAAATAAAAAGACTAAACAAGGCGGGTTTTCGACCTCTCCAAAATGGCTGCCATATCCTGATAAATTCGTCACGTCCGGCTGATGCTCAAAGGAGCTACCAATATGAACCTCTTGCTTCCGGTAATGCCTCCTTTTCGGCAGCGGCTATTTCCTCGCCAACATGCCAGTGAGTATAGACAGGCAGTATCGAAATGACATTTTTATAAGTTAACGGGCCTTCAGGGAGTCACCGCACGGCTCAACGTGTACATGAGAGACCGGCGATTCGATCGGTGCCGGTTTGAGACATATAGCCGGGTTTTGGACTGAGTTTGGCGGGACTAAATGTTCCCATTTGGGCGCATTTGCGAGCGCATTGTGATACAAGATGGCTGCGCACACACCGCAAACATGGAGCCAGTTTAACGACCGATGATACAGCCTCGAAAACCCAATATTCAGAGCTATATTTTCGCTTTGCTTGGTGTCTTTTAGAGTGGCCATCGACGTATTTTACCGAGGATGTTTGACTATTTGGGGAACAATTCGTGATCGATGTAAATGCGCACGTTGGGTTACCTAATCCAAGAAATGTAGGCCGATCGTGGAGCCTGAACGTGCACGTAGCACGAGCAAAACATGGCAACTGAAGCGTTTTTAAGCTAAATAATAAAGCTAAATGTCCCTGATAAAGCGCCCTTTCTTTTGAATTTGATAGCTTGGTATTTTTATTTAATTTTCTCTAATTGCTCTCTATGAGTTGAATAACGCTTACCCTCTTTTATTTCCTCATTTTCTTAAATCTTGTAGCTCGCAAAAGACTTGTTGCACCCGTCCCCTGAGGAGGAGAAGAGGAGGCACAAGAAGAAGCGTCTTGTTCAGAGTCCCAACTCTTACTTCATGGATGTAAAATGTCCAGGTACGCTTTCTGTACACACACACAGGTCACCTGGGGTTTGAGTTTTACCTGTGAGCGTTTGCGGGGGTTTGAGTTTTGGATTATCGACCATTGTGATTGTTTTGCAGGATGCTACAAGATCACGACGGTGTTCAGCCATGCTCAGACAGTCGTGCTGTGTGTGGGCTGCTCTACAGTCCTGTGTCAGCCCACCGGAGGCAAAGCACGTCTCACAGAGGGTCAGTATTCATCTACAGCAAGGGTGTCCTCCGATGGCATTCAGTGGCCTGCTGATATAAACACAGACTGTATCATGCTTTTTTTTTTAAATCTATTTTGGGGGGTTTGTGGTAGAGGCAGAAATATCTAGAATGGGGATGATTTTTGCACTTTTAGTGGGCATGCCACTAGACGAATTACAGGAAACGCGAGCCTCAGGCTGGCGTGTTCGTCCTGTCACCCATTTTTCCCCTGTGCCAGAACTTTAATACGCTTTTAGTGACTGAGGTTAGTCACACATCCAGACTCTGTTTTACTGGTAATACCAAATTCGTTATCAAAGTGATGCTGCTATGTGTTATTCCAAACTGGAATATAGTTACGACTGGAATAATTTCAGACATTTAAAGCCTGGAATAGCAGATAGGCTACAGAACTATAGATGTCATCAAATAGCATTCAGAAAGTGCAGGACATCAACATCCAGGAGCTGATTTTGCTCTTTATGAAAAATAATGCTGTTGTCTTGTTTCTTACTGACAGAGGTGGGTGTCATTCATCTGGAAATGCCGATACAATTTTGTGTGTTGTTTCTAAATCATTATGACGTTTTGGCCGCACTGCTAAGTGACTGGACTTCCTCTGTTGTGGTCTTGCAGTCTCATTCCGGTGCCAGATCAACCTCAGTTTGCAGAAGGGTTGAGCTAGACTACTGGCTCCCCCCTTTCGAAGGCTGAGAACAGATTATTTACCGCCCTAAAGCTAGTGAGAGTGCAGATTTTAGGGTGGCTTGTTGAATTAGTGTACAGGGAATGGGGGAAAATTAAAGCTGACCTAATCAGTCACATGACTGAAAGCAATGACTCTTGTATTGGTGCTGTGCAGCACAATGGCAGCATGCTATGCTCTGCATTAATCCTGTAGCCTGACTGTCATTGTCTCCGTTGGCAGGGTGCTCATTCAGGAGGAAGCAGCACTAGCTGTCCTCCCCGGAGCTGAAGGGGAGAGGAGGGGATGGACCGGTTGATATCAGCGCCTTCGAGACGGCAGCGGCGGCGGACCCTGCGGCCCGATCGGAAACGAGATCTGGAGGCTTAACGGGACAGCAGATGGATTTCCTCTGTTAATGTTGACAGATGGTTTGTTGCTGTAACTCCACCCTCCAACCCTGTCTCTCTAAATAAAATGTTGTTTTGGCTAAAGGAATGGTTTGTGTGTCGTTGTTGTTTTGTTATTTTAAGCTGGAAAATAAAGGTTGTGTTGTCACCTTTATGATAAAGTAGTTCAGGTTACGGTTGGATTTTTATTACAATAGCAAACTGCTGGACTTTATACACATTTTATTACACAATCAGAAAGATGCAGCATTTACAGAATAAAAGCTGGCTTAGTTTATGCATTTGCGGAGCTAAAAGTATCTCCTGGTTATTTTGATCATGGACAACCTAAGAAGGTGAAATATTTCAGAAGTCCACATCTGATAAGTAAAATCTTCCTGCAATAAATTCAAATTAAGCTTATTGGGCAAAGATGGTTTAATTTTCATTTTTTATTGCTGCCACAGTACTAACTTCTACATTTTAAAGTTATTTCTGCTACAGAAAATATATTTTAATACAATTATACATCTCTTTTCCCTTTCTCTTCAAGTCTGTTTAAGCTGCAGTAAAGGCAGATAACTTCTTCTCAAGCGTCCTTAGAAGCCTTCGTCTGCCATCCCTCTACCTGTCTTCTCTGCTCACGCTTGCAATCTCAGTCTTCCCCTCCCTCTCCCTGAGCAGGTGGCGGATGGAGGAATTCTGTGTGGACAGTGTGCTGGAGAGGAGCGGCATCAGGCTCCTGAAGCCCTCCCTCAGCTCCTCCACACTCTTCTCCAGAGTGTGGATGTGTGTGTCCAGATCCCCCCTGCAGCCCTGCACCTCCGACAGCACGTCATACATCAGGTTCTGCATCTTCGTATAAATCGGTGCGCAGTTAGGGGAAAGAAAAGAAAATTGCATCAGCAATTAGATTCTCTTATTTCTTTTTTGGGGTGTTAGCAGGACACATGTGTTGCCTGCACTTCCTCTCATACCTTGTTAAGGTCCACAAGTGTGTTCCCCTGGTCAGCAAGAATTCTCTTCTCCATCTTCACTTGCCGCAGCCTGGAGATAAAATTGCTTGGTTTTATGACATTGCTACTTTTTCATTTTAAGACGAGCAGTAATTTAAAGGGCCAGTCAGACACATGACCGGAGAAACAAGCCATAAACGCGACACGACGTCAACAGATTTTATGAGGACTTTGGTAGAGAGTAGCTCCCATAAAACAATTTAAAGGCATCTCTCTGGATTATGCAACGGCACCAAATGAAAATCTTCCAAATTTAGCAAGGAATGGTTGATATAAAAGTCAGCATAACTTGTGGCTTGAAGGAACAATTGCAGGCTAAAATGTACTGTAATTGCAGCAGTAGACAAGAGTGATATAGTAGTAATCAAGTGGCTTTTATTTAGAAGAAATATCTTCTTATAAGGTGTGGCGGAAAATCCCCAAGTGACAAAGCTGAACTTTTGCCTTTCAGAGACAATGTATATGGACACAAATGGCACCACTCCTTGGTTTTCACTTCATTTTGGTTGTTTCCATTTTTTACACGGGCTGGGCATCTAATTTAAATGACCTTTCATTGAATTCATACCTTAAATTTGTCATTTGCTTCAGATGACTATGTAGGAGAAGACGTGACTTTAAAGGACTCGATTCAAACTGGGCGGTTCATTAGAAATCCTAAATCTGTTTTACAGTTAGGGCCGAGATTTTTTGATAATGACACAGTTTGTATAGTTTTGCCTCTGTACATCACCACAGTGGATTTAAAACCAAATAAAGTGTGACTGAAGTGCAGATTTTTAGCTTAAAATCAAACTATTTTGTACACAGTCGCCCATTTTCAGTCCAAGAATTATTGGTCAACTATAAGTTTTAAGTAAAAACATTGTTTTTAATA